CCACCCACCTCACCAGCTCCCAGCTTCCCCAGCACCTCCACATTCCACTGTGCCACCCAGTGGGTCAGGCACTGGAAGCAGAAACTGGAGGAGGGAGAAGCCCAGAGCCCCTGGAGGCAACAGCACCCCACATGATAGGGAGTGCATCAGCTGGGTGGCAGTTTAAACCCTTGGGGGCCACATGCAACCCATAGGCTGCCAGTTGGATAGCTCTGGTCTAGCTCACCAGCAGCTGAAGAAACACTTCTTGATGTTACACAAAAATATATCTTTCCACAGCAGCATTCCCTCAATTTCCCTTCTCCTCCAACAAAATCAAATCAAGTACCAGGCAACTAAAGAAGCTTTCCCTCTCTCTTAGCCCTTCCCCACTGCCCAACAGGATCATTTATCCTCTTATTTGGACTGACAGAGAGAAAATTCTCTCCACCAGCTGGTAAAACAACAAGAGTTAAGGTACTCACACTAATCTTTACTGCTACCTCTGTGTGTCTCATGTCATTATTCCTAAAACTCATATCCACCTCCCTCACTTCCTCTCCACCCAGGATCTTTCCAATTTACTACAAAAGAATACAGGCAGTCCTTGACTTACAATGTTCCGAGTTACAACGTTTCACACTTACAATGTTTATAAATTGACACCCTGTTTCAACTTTATGACATCAGTTTCGACTTACAATGCTTGATCCGTTGTGACACTACGCCAGAGAACAAGTTTGCTGTGTCACTCATCTCCCTGGAGAACATCTGTTCAAACTTGCTTGGACACTTTCTTTAAGAAAGCAGACAAGACTCCACAAAAACCTGCAGCCAAGACTCCTGAGAAGACTCCAGCCAAGAGCCCTTCAAAACGTCCACCCAAGAGCCTTTCACAAAGTCCAGCACACCTCACAGAAGTCTTTCCAAATCAGTATGATTTCTATTTACAATATAAATACATTAATGTAGCTATATTACTCATCTATAATTGATCGAGTACAAAATTCTGGGGTGAGTAAATTTTCACCCTATTGGTGAAAATAGGGTATCAGGCCTTGGTTCAGGAACCAATCCCCCATTTATAACATTGCTTCTTATGAGAAAATTGGTTCCAAGTTACAATGTTTCGACTTAAGACCCAGTTTTCAGGAACCAATTGTGTCCTAAGTCTGAGGACTGCCTGTATTGACAAAATACAATATGGGCTCCTGTCCTACCCTTCCCATTGCCTCCCCTTCCCCTCCTACAACTTCATTTCCTTTTTGCCATCATGGATGTAGATATTAGCTAGCCTGCTCTCTTCTTCTCACCCTTCTACTTGCCTCAAAGGACTTCAACCTATCCCCCGATCTCCTCTGTGTCCACATCTCCCTCACTATTTTTCTTAACACCTCACTCTTTTCTGGCTCTTTCCTTTCCTAGTATAAGCCATGGATTAGTCTCTCTCATATTTAAAAAAAGAAAAAAAAAACCTGAATCCACTTGCCTCTCCAACTATATCCATCTTCCCTTCACCTCTAAGCTGACTGAGCCTGCTGTCCACAATAGACATCTGGAGTTTGTCTCTTCCAATTCCATTCTAGACCTTCCCCAAGCCAGTTTCCTGCCTTTTGCATTCCACTGTTACATCTATTGCTGGCATCTCTAATGACCTCTCTCTAACCAAAGCTCTGAACCAGTCCTCATCCCCCTTGACTTGTCAGTTGCCTTTGACACCATAAACCACATATTTCTTCTTGAGATGTTGTCCTCCTCTGGCCTCCATAACAGACCTCTTTTGGTTCTCCTTTCTAATCACTCCTTCAGAGGATTCTAGGCATCACCCACTTCACCTAGCAGTGCAGGTTCTACATGGCTCTTTGGTCCCCTTCTACTCTTCATTTATACACTTCTTCATCTACACCCTTCAACACCCTTCTTCAAATGGGTAATCCCATCTGCAAACACATATTCAATTACCATCTGTATAGTGACAAAAATATCCAAAATAAAATACAGTACCTTGTCTGCACAACACCTCCTCGCGGACGTTGCAGCATCATGTCAAACTCAATATGGTGCAACCTGAGCTTCTCTGCCACCCCAGAACCTTCTTTCTAAACCAACACCATGTTGCCTATCATTTAGATCCATAAAATGGGCATCTCAGGACTCTTTCTATGTTCTCATGTCTAGGCTACATTTAAATCTTCCCACAATATGACTTTTCCTATCTGTCCACATGACTAAAAACTTTTATCATCCTGCAACTTGACTACTGCAACTTGACTACTGCAACATCCTTCTCTCTGGCTTTGAGAAATGCAATAAAGCCATGCTTACATCCATTCTGTATCCTGCTTCAGAGATCATTTTACTAGCCTATTCCATTGGCCATGTCAGTTTGCCTCATTCCCTCTCCTAGCTCCACTTTTTCTATCAAACATGAGCCTCAGTCTTTCCACACCTTACATAATACCATCTCTCATTCACTGTTGTTGGGGGGAGGTCAATCTCCTCCCTTGGATCAGCCACTGATGCTTCACCACACACACATCACATTTTCAGACACTTTTTGCTGTCTCCTATGCTGCTCCCACATCTGTTACATACATAAAACATGATTAGTTTCCTTTAAAACCCTCCTCAAAACTCCTTTTTCTTAACAACAGTTTAGTTGCTGGTATGTTGAGATCACAATCCATCATGCTGTCTTATTGTTTTCTTATAATCCTGGTCAGGTTGTCTGTATTCTTTTAATGCCTCTTGCCTAATACTTAGATTGTGAACTGCATGTGCGTATATTTTTATACAGCCTAGCACAGTGAAGTCATGGTCTATGATTAAGATTCCTATGGCCTATAGTAATGCAAATAAATAATACTGACCTTGACCGAGTTGAGGTAAATCAGGACATCATCAAACTGCCTAAGCAGAAAGAAGCAGGAAGCCATGCACTGTCTCCCTGGGACAGTATCTGAAACAAGAGGGAATATAGATGTATATAGTTTAGAATTGGGTGGGAGGGGGAAAAAAGAATCAATACTACAGATATATGCTTCCTAAATTATTGAGAAAGTCCAAAGTATAGTATCGTCTGTCTTTTTCAGGCAGGGGACTATATTAAAGAATGAGAAAAGCAATTAGATCTTTTTGTACACCTCTGTTCATGCAAAATTACTTCCCTGGTAACACATGACTTTAAGTAACAGGCTATTTCCCACAGAATATCTTCCATGTTCCAGAGACAATTTTACCATGAATCACTACCAGTTCCTACAAGTGAGAGTAAGTCCTGCATTTGTAGTTTTCAACCCATTAGTCCTAATTTAAGTGCCTTTAAGCCATCTTAAACAGTTACTCTCTCTTGTTTGTGTGCCCATATTCACAAATTACCACAAGGGGTACACTATCTCACATTTACCATGGGGTAACAGTGGGTACACAAAGGCAGTTACTATGGAGTGGCTAATGTAGTCTAAGTTCAGACTTTACCTTACTTCACAGTAACTTGTTCATTTGCCCATACCGTTTATATTTACATCCTTAAAAACATTCCTAGATGGTGAAGTTCTATACATGTAAATCTTAGTGCTGGTACCATAATAAACTTGAAGCACAGAGAACATTATGCCCACATGCTGCAGCTTTCTACACACAGTGATGCAGTGTAGCATGAAAATTTGATCAGTCCAGTTTGGGTGGGCCATGTTATTCACAAGTGATAAAGCCATGAAGGACTGTAGCAGCCCATCCCAAATGAGTACCAATATTTTATATTATACCAATGCTGCTCAAAAATATGGTCTGCAAGCCTGATCCAATCCATTGAGCTGAGTCATCCAACCCCTGAGGCTCCCATGGGTCCAAAAACTTAGCAGTGTCAATGCCACTGTTAATTGCCACAGCTCTGGGAGCCTGGCAGCAATTAACACACCAGCTCTCTCCTGCTGCTATATTTGTAGACTCATGGAGAGCCCCACAGGCCAGATGACATTATTCCTGTATGCCAAATAGGGCTGGCATGCTAACCCAGTGTGCAGCCCTGGACCCAGCATGCAGGCTTTGACCTGGTACATAGTCCCAGACCCAGCACGTGGGGCCAGTCTGCATCCCTGGACCCAATGCATGGGGTTGGTTTGTATGCTGGAGCTGACCCCTAGAGCAGCTGCACCCATTCATCTGACTTGCATGCCGGCAAGATTGAGCACCACTATCACCTAGTCTGAAAATGTGTGTTGCCAAAAAGCACCCCACTACCGCTGCCCCAAGAGCCATGTGATGTTATGTGCCTGCTGCTGCCAGGCGGGCAGGGGACAGACACACACACACGCAGAGGCAGATGCACACACCACACATGCAGAGGCAGACACACACACACACAGACAGCCCCCTAGCAGGTAAGTGTGTGTGGGGGGAAGGGGCAGGCCAGACCAGATCGGGAATGGCAGGGGGAAGTGCGTCTCTGTGCCTGCTCCCAGGAGCAGGGCCAGGGGGAGGGAGAGAAAGAGGGCAGTGGCGCCCCACTGTGGGCTGCACACATGCCACATGGCTGGCTGGGCCAGGAGGGGGGGGCCTTGCACACAGCGGCTGCTGCCATCATCACCACTCACCGCCCCATGCCATTGCCCCTGCCACGCCCACGCTGCTTTCCTACAGCCCACTGCACACATGGCTCCGCAAGCTGCTGATGGGCAGCGCACAATTGGTCAGGCATGAGGCCCATCAGCAGCATGCGGAGCCATATGTGAAACCGGCCATAGGAAAACGTGGGCACGGCAGCTGCACAGGGTGGTGGGTGGTGGTGACAGCGGCAGCTGCTATGACAAAACATATATGGCACTGTCTCTGCTTCAAGGAACATATAACCTAAACTAGACAAAAATATGGTATATGAATATAACAACACAGACCTGACATCTGCAAAAAGATCAGTGCCCAGCAGGAGCATCATCTTGTTAATGGGATTATTTTTAAGAGAGGGTCCCATTTTACATGGATAAAGATGATTTTTATTAAAAACTAACTCTGCTAACTAGAAAAATGTAGATATTATATTACATATAAAAGACATGTTCACGTGACTTGCACAGCACATTCTCAGGGTCCTGTTGGAGTAGACATATTGTGTGGAAGAATTCCATATTTTATTACCAATACAACTACAGCAAGACAACGTCTACTACCAGACGTGCTGAGTCAGCAGCTGCACAGGCACCATTAAACAAAATACATACTGTTGTATCAAAAGAAGAGAGAGTATATAATGAAGAAAGCAAACTTCAAAACATACCACATTCACTGGCTGATCCTCCCACAAGCTGGAAGAACTGCTGAGCAATTTTCAGATGATCCCTCTTGGAGAAAAACAAATGACATAAGATCCAGAGTATAGAGCAGGGCCATAAGACAAAGTGAACATTTGGTTTGGGGAGGTGAGTAGGTGAAGTGAAACACAGTGAATGCACATACTAAGGACAGATGTGAATAGAACAAAACAAACAACGTTTATTTAATGCATGGGCCCAAGTACACAAAACCACTGCAAAAAAAGGAAACCTTTTATAATCAGGAGAGAGAAGTCTGAATTCAGTCTGGAGGATTCTAAGGGCTAGTAAAATCTTGCAATTCATTCATTCTGGACTGAACATTGTGGGGTGAGAGAAGGTGGTATTTGGATAGCATGAAATCTAAATATAAAATTATCACCTCTTTCCCCATCACCTGCATCCCAAATCCCTTATTTCTTTTTCTCCTCCCACTTCAGTGATGGAACACCTGAGGAGTTTTACTTACTGAGCCTACTTCTTGTCCCAGGGCTGCATTCACTACCCCCTTGAGAATATATTCCTGGAAGAAAAAAAAAGGATTGGAAAAGACAAGTTAAAGAATTCAGAAGATACAAAAACATTATGAGTCAACTACTTAAAATGAGTGTTATCTTGTCCATGCCAACTCTATCCAAGATTCCATTATGTTAAATGTCAGATCCTAGTGATGGGTACTTCAAGCAATACATGTAACAAATAATGGCTGAAAAATGTCAATCGTACATGTGAGTTGACCACTTTTACAAAATAAGCTGGGGTTCTGCTCCAGTACCAAGTGTAGAAATAGCCACATTACACAACCCACCATCACATAGCACAACTATGCTGCTCTCAGTAGCCTCAGCAGAGAAGTCCAAATATGGAAAATTGCATGGAGACCAAACCCACTTTTGGCCCTGTAGGTGGTTCCTCCAGCAAAGAGACTACCTCAAGATCTGAAAGCTGGCACTGCCTCTACCCTGTGAATAAAGTGAAACAATCTCTGTGGCTATCAAGTAGACTGGTGCTTTTTAACCAATATCAACTTTACGAAAAAATACGGAGCGAATTTCATCCTAATAAAAAAATGTCCAACAGTCCTCAAGGCTGAAATCCACTACTCTTAAAGGAGTTTATGGCAAGGGCAGTCTCTACCCACACACTTCTTCCTCAGTCCTCTCCTGGAGTGAATGGGAAAGTTTCTGATGCCTCTTCAGTAATTGAACCCATCTGTTAAGTTTGCCAACAAGGGGACAATTAAAGTCCATTGTGATTACGGTTTTTATGAGATGTCCATTAGCACAGCAGGGGGCATGTTACCAATAATAAATAATGGCAGCTGAACTGAAAACCTCAATGTATTTCACACAAGCAACAGAACAGCTATTAAATCACTGGAACTGGCATAACTGGCCAAAATGCATGCATTTACAACATAAATAATATTATCAGTTATCCAGACAGGACCGGTGTGTACATGGCACAAGGAAAACTTTCACCTTCTTAATCTGAGTAGCTTCAGTCATCCTTTAAAGAAAACCTACCTGAGAAGCATTGCTCTCTCAACCTCAGAGTGGGACTCAGCAATGCTCAGTCTAGAATCATTCTTAGAATCCGCAATTGCGCAGTATTAATATGGGTATTTTAGACAACTGATGCAGAAATATTTCCCTTCTGCCAGCAGAAACCAACATTTGATTCTGGCCCTAGCTATCAGATTTTTAAAATTCACATAACAACAACAAATATTATGCTGGGAATCTGACTCTTGTTTCATTTTATACCACTAGACCAGGGGTGTCAAAAATATGACCTACAGAGCCCCATCACATGGCCCCAGTGCTGCCCCTAGGCCTGAGTTGACCCATATGCCACCAGATAATAATTATAAAAGAAATATTAGTAGTACTGCTGCTTTAGATTTTACTTAGATTTCTTTAGTATTCATTATAATTTCCTTTTCTTAAACAGCTTGTAAAGTGGGATTCATGGTACAAAAATGTGTCTGACCTTACAGGCAGAAATAAACAATACCAATAAACATTTTAAACAGAGGTCTAAAATATTTTTCCTGTAACATTATTTAGTATATGCACAACACAGAATGGTGGTAGCATGGGAAAAGAGATGTACTGATACTTTTGTATAGTTGTCTACAAAACACTCACAGCTTTGCTACTTTCAACTTATGTTCATAACATTTGCAGCACACTCACTACCAGTTAACAGACACAATACATATGAACACAACTAACTAAGCCTTATGGAATAGCAGGCTGAGTTTGGGATGATCTGCTGCTGCAGTCTAACATACAGATCAGACAACCACACCACCTGCATTACTCAAACAGAGGCTGTCTAAGAAAGAGGGTATATAATTCACTACTCATGTCAGTTCTCTGTTAGTAATGTTGTCAGTTGTATATCTGCAGGTCCCAAGAAATTTAGCCACTGCGTCATCTAAACCTTTCTCCAAATAACCTTTCCTCAGGATCTAAAATAGGTATTTCTCTTGTTCACATTGAGAGTATTATTGCATTTATTTGCATTATTTTAACACCTTAGAGCAGTGGTGCTCAACCTTTTTTCTTGGTAGTCCAGATGGCTAGTGCCTAGTCCATCCATGGCCCAGATGTGGCCAGTGGCCCTGATCCAGCACCCAAGACAGGCACAGCAGGGTGCCATCTGGCTGCGCGGGCAGAGGAGGGCTCAAGGGGCGGTCCCAACCCGGTGGTATGGGGAAAAGGGGACATGGCTAGGCCCCAACCCAGCTGTACCGGGGGAGGTGGTGTGGGAATTTGGTAGTGGGGGTGGGTGGCCACTGCTCCCCCACCACCACATTTCCCAACCCATGGGGAACCCTGCAGGCCAGATACAAAGGCTCTGTAGGCTGCATTTTGGCCAATGTGCAGAGGTTGAGTACCCCTACCTTAGAGCATTAGTCAAGGACCCCACTCTGTGGCAAACAATATATAAATAGACAGACAATCTTTGGCCAAAAATCTTATCATCTAAGTACAAGACAAGAGGCAACAGCTAGATACAGCCCAATACAGGTATAAGAAACAATAACAGTATTGATCAGTGCGATAGGTGATTGCCTCAGCATACCAGCTGCCTAACTGCTGTCAAGTTTTTTGTAAGCATCACGGCAAAGGTGCTGTTTGAGAAGGTTTCTGAAGGAGAATATGTATTAGTTTTGCAAATGTGTTTCTGAAACTCCCCAAACCGAGAGGGACAGCATACAAGAAAAGCACAACAGTGCTCATTTCAAAATTTACCAAGCAGGCAATGGAGGATGCCACCATGGCATTTACACAATGTATGAGCAGCTGTGTGTTGTGAAAGAAAAAACACATGGAAAAAATGAGAGATTAAAAGCACTGCAGATGCAGAAAACAGTTCAAGTAAGTCCTGCTACACTAAGAAGTGCAGAGGAGGGTATAACAATGACGAACCGAGCTGAGGCAATTCCTTTCCTCAACAAACCTCAGCCCAGTACCAGGGAGGACTCCCCTTTTATTACTTCAAAGACCCATAAGATGTTTCCTCTCAACCCCAGCTCTGTGACCTTTGAGAAACAAACCACAGGGAAGAGCCAGCCAGAGACTGAAGCTAGCAGAGCACCTGTAGAAAGCAGTTCAAACATGAACCAAGGGATACTGTAGTATTTACTCAGTGCATTTTCATGCCTATGCTGGCTGGTGGTTGCTACAACTCTCCCTTATCCCTGCTTTCCTTTGCTTTTCCACCTAGCTAATCCCAATGTAACCTCCTGGAAACTATTTCAAGACTTTACTTCAAAACTTGAACAAAATAAGACAGCCAAAAACAACAGTACAGTTTACCACTGTTGTATTATTCTCTCTCCTTGCATGTTCTATCACTTCCCTCTAATCTTATGACTTTCTGAATGAGTTAGTCTTTAAGGTGCCACCCTGCCTGGCCTTCTGCCTGACTTCAGACTAATGTGTCATCATTTCTAGGATCGGAAGGGACCTGAATAGATCATCAAGTCCTACCCCCTGCCCTGGGCAGGAACAAATACTGGGATCATAATACCCCAGCCAGATATCTATCCAACCTCCTCTTGAAGACCTCCAAGGTAGGGGAGAGCACCGCATCCCTTGGGAGTCCATTCCAGAGCCTGGCAGCCCTAACCATAAAGTAATACCTTCTGATATCAAGCCTGAACCTGTTCTCAATCAATTTGTGGCCATTATTCCTTGTTATCCCAGGTGGTGCCCGGGGTAACGGAGCCTCACCTATTTTCCACTGGTCCCCACAAAAGGGGCACCTGGATTTGAACCAGGGACCTCCTGATCTGAAGCTATATGCTCCTCCACCAAACTATACCCTTCAGCAATACACCCCTTCATTGATTATGTGGTTAACTACCTTTCTCTTCCCTCAACCCTGTGCCTCTGCTGTTTAGACTGCAAGACTTAAGTTCTTTGGGGCAGGGACTGTACTCAACAGAAACTAGGTTTCAAATGATCTTCCAGGAATGACCGTAATAAATATGCTAAATAATAAATAGTATATAGCCTGTTCATTTTATATATATAAAACTTCATATACAGAATTTTACCCAAAGTGTTAGCACCAATAAAAGCTGAAAGACAGACAAATACAGGATATTACATGTGGGAAGGATGCAAACACCCACAGTATATTCTTTGTATATGGCAGATTCCACCCCAATTTATAGCCTCTCCCTTTATGAACAATTCCATAAGCTTCTAATTACCTGTGGAGTTGCAGGTTCCAGATCCTTAATCAGGTTATAAGCCTCTTGAACATCATCTGAAATATCAGACATTAGAATGCATGACAAACTATAACACCCTGTACTCAAATCACTCATTCCCCACAACATTCCTTCACAGTCACAGCCAGGGAAAGTATTTGGAGGGGAAGAGAAAGGGGACTATAAATTGGTGTAAATTTATATCTTGCTGATGATAGCTGCTAGAGCCTGAATTACAAACATGGATTGAGTAATAGGTTCTTTATTACTACATTTTTCCTCATACAGAAATGACTTGGCCCCTTGTTCATAGTTCAGTGACTGCCTTCTCAATAGTACAAGGTCAAGATAATAAATCTCTCATCCTTCTCTCTCCCAACCACGTTTATGCCTCCCTTCGGAGAGGACAGGGGAAGAGGTTAGTTGCTTCTGAAGATACCCCTCACATTTTCTTAATTAAGAGCTCAACATCTGGCTAACTACTTTACCTGATCCCAGATCTCCCAAGAAAAAAACTTCGTTAATGTAAGAGTTAATTTAGGAATTTAACTCCACACACACACTCAAATACATTCTAAATTAAAGAATTCTAGGACCTTTTCAACATTAAGGTTTCCCAGTAATAGCCAGACTACCAAACTACCTACTGCAGATTCTAACTGTACCACTAAAGAATTATTTTGTCAGTACAGGTTAAAAATAGTTCCCTATACAAAACAGGTTAAATCATCAACAGGATTTTTTTTTTGCTGGTGCAAGTTATATATAAAAAGTTTTGTGCACTTAGGTGTGTCAATTAAGGATAGTCAATTAAGGTTCCTTCCAGCCCCCACTTTTTCCTCCCTCCCTCCCATTCTTAACCATCTTAACTCCATTCCTCTCTTTTGTACATATTAGTCAGATTTACTCTACAGTGAAGGGCGGAATTTTTACCTAAAAGGCATGTACTAATACATTTAAAAACACTTGTGTAGTGAGTACTATTAGTTCGTTATTAAAAATATTATACCTCAATTGGTAAAAGTTGTAAAGTTTTCATAACTTGAGACTTTACTGTTGATCTCTAGTATTATTTTTTTAAATAATAAAATGGAGCGAGATTGCCACATTTTGTGAAAAGTAATGTGACTACAGATTTGTAGAGATTAATGAGGTTATGCCATAAAGTTATTTATATCCAGGTAGGATAATAGAAAACACGATGTATGATTCATAAAAGTAAGCAAGTAAAGTTCAAATTGGATATATAGCCCAAGACAGCCTGATATGGAAAAAAAGTAACTTAAGATTTAAAAGGAATCCTCAAAAAGGTTTAAATTGCATTAACCTTATTAGTAAAACTGTCTTCCCAAATAGGTATTTCAAGCTTTAGAGTTAATATAAGCAAGCTATAAAAGGTGCACTGAACTTTTTCCCCTCTGTTATGTCTTTAAAGTTACTCAGGGATGTATTTGGTAGCCGTGTTGGACTGAGACAAAAAAAAGAAATGCAAAACTCTAGAACTCTTGGTTCAGAGATGATACCTTTTATTAGATCAACTAAGAAATTGCAAAAAAAAAAAAATCTTTTTCTGCAAGCTTTTGGGCGCACACGCCCTTCCTCAGGGTTAGGGAAAATTAAAGATAGTAAAAAGTCCCTATACGTAGAAAATAAATTTAATTTTTGCACATAGGGAGCTGAAGTCTGTCCCTCTGGGTCCTTGGAAGTGTCTTTGTGAGTTGCTCTTTGAAAGTTGCTCTTTAAAGTTACCCATGCACATACTGGGAGATTTACCATACAAAGTTCAGGGTGTGGTTTATTTCTCCACATAGAATAAGTCTGACGTTTTTCTGACTATATTTCTTTCATCTAAGAAGAACAAACATTTGCAGAGCAGTAGGGTACAAGGTTACTAGCTAAAACAGTGAACATTCTCTGAAATGCAACAAAACTTACTGAGTGGGACTGAGTAAGATTAAGGAGATAACATTAACTGCTTTCAAGTACCCAGATCTAAACAGCTGGTCACAGAAAGGTGCGACAATACCATGAATAAGGGAGGCATTGGGTGGAAAAGGAATCACCATATCCCTTTACATTAGATAGCTGCAGTTAACACCAACTCAATCAATCAATCAATCAATCAATCCACAGTTGAATGGAAGAACACAGCAGTGAGGAGTAAAGGGGAAGATGGTAGGCTTTTTAACTTGTGGTAGGACTGAAATACAAATAGAAAGATACAGAATAGCCTGGAAGCAAATAACTTGGAAACACTGGAGATTTTCCTGCTGCCCAGGACCACCTACCTGCATTGTTCAACTGTTGGAAAATGTGTTTGGAATAAATTGTCTCATTCACAGTGCTGCCTTGTTTCTTGTTACTTTAGTTCACAGTTTGCTTATGCTACATTTACAAAAATAGTTTTTATAGACTGGATGAGAATCCTGTCTACTAATGAGGTACTCCTCCATGTTAACAAGCTCAGTTAAGGGAGGGTGTTCTGCCAGTGCAAAGGGAGGAAAAAGAACTTCTGATCTTCTGACAAAGTAGATTTGTTCGGACACTTACAACTGGCCCTTCTCCAGACACCAAAAAATGTATAAGCCATTAGCTTATTTCTCATAAGGCTATCAATCAAACACATTAAGAACCAATGCTAAACATATATATATTTGTGGAAGACCAGTCATGAGCAGGTGAACAGGTGTCACAGAAAGAGAAAGGGTTCCACCTCCTGCACCCAAGAAAGAGCCAGAGAGAGATTTCTTTACCCTGACGGAGATAGTAAATCACTAGATTCAGTCTGGCTTCAGGAATAACATCAACCAGGGGAGGAAGAACCTGCAGAGCCCCTTCTCCTCCTCGGAACACCACCTGCAGAGGGAAGTACCCACCTCATTAACATCTATAGTATGTTCCTGTCTCTGGCTTTGCAATCAGCCTTATAATTCCTATATTAATGATAAGCTATGATCAAGAGAACTGGCATTAGCTGAATCACTATTTATTAGTAATTTTAATAATGTGAGATATTTATAAGCTTCTTCACCTCAGAATAGTCTAATCCACTAAACTAAAAGCAAGACCACACATAACAATGTTAGACAAATTAAATAAGATGTGACCTGAACTGAAGCTACAAGGCAAACACAGCTGGGCAATTACAATTTTATTAAGCTGAAATTATGTTAAAATATTAGGGCTAATAACCCTAGACTTGTGAAGAATACTGTGGGATAATTTAAATAAAAGTAATAATGGTTTCAAATTTACATAATAATATCCCCAACAGTATTCAGGACATGGTTTCAGAAGCAACTTAAGAGAAAAGACTATCACCTGTTGAGTCATTTACAAAGAAAACTGAATAAAATTACATAAAATGTTCATTTTTCCAATCTAAAACCAGAATTAACTTTTGAATGCCTGCTATGTTAGGGAAAAGTTATGATTAAGCTTGTTGCAATTAGCTGAACCACAAAATCTACCTTTTGGACTAGTCATTAGTTCATTTCCCATAACGCTAGTGCAGCAGTTCCCAAACTCTGACAGATTGCACACCGCCAATTTAAAATGATACAACCTTAATTACCATCAGCAAATTTGTCTTATAAAGTAATTATAGTAAATCTCTTAACGCAGCGCTACCACTGACAGGTTGTCTGTGTACTACTGGTGGTATTCGTACCACAGATTGAGAACTGCTGGGCTAGTGGATTGTCATATGCGTTTTTGGTATATGGAAAGTAAGCAACTCCACCAAATAGAAACACACTATTATAAGGACTGGTAATTTAGAATAATGCTAAAACTATTGCAATGCACTTCTGTCAAATGATCAGTTTCTGTTTTGCTTCAAAAGGCAAATATTTTTGTTTTGTCTCAGTGTGTGCCTCCCATGAACTCCTTGTTATTTACTTTGCAAATGGAGACCATTAGCTTGAGACATTTCAATTCCACTGACATTGTATGCTGGTTAAACAACAAAGTTCAGGGTAAGGCATCTACTACCATCCAAGTATTGACTAAGTTGCCCCAAGAATCTTGAAAGGTATGCAGCACTTTAAAACAACATCGTTTTTTCATGACATGGTATCATTCTGACAATGCAAAATAACAGAAGATGAAGTTAAATAAAAAACTGGGAGACATTGAGAAGAGCATGGCTGCAGACATGATGACATTTCACCAACTCACCTCTCATACCCTGCCTCCAAAATTCCCCAGAATATTTCACTCTGCAATCTACCAAGAACAGCTCCCCAGGCCACAGTTTGAGGCGTACTAGTATAACTTACCAAATTATGCTTAATGAGCTCCTTCGCAAACTCAAAAGATGAGGAGGCATTGTCCATTAGGCTCTTGAGTTCTGCCTGAAATCATACATAAAAAGTTTAGCTAAAAACAAACAAAAAATACCCTTCATTGCCAGTTCACACCACTGCTGAAACTAAGGGGTATTCATATCCAGCTGTGATAAACTGGTTGATGGAGAAAGTCATCTCCCCACTTTACCCTGATACATTTGTACAAAAGCAGGACAAAAAAAATGGTCTTGGAAAATGGCAAGGTAAGCATGCAGACAGAAAACCTTGGTGCCTGAGAATGTGTAGACTAGAGGTAGCTGATATCCCTCAAAGGCCACTGTGACATGATAAAAACAAATTGTCAACAACTGTGATTAAGCACAAGATAGATAAGAGACTACAAGGGGAGAAATGAGTGTGGGACCTTGAATGAAACTGACAAGCCAGAAGAGCTTTCCAATGGATACCTCAGCAGCCTTGCCGTTGTAAAGTCGGAAGTGGTTACAAGCCTTGAGGTTAAGAGCAATGGTGCTGTCAGGAACTTGCTGAAGGTAAACAGCCAATACGTCTTGAGACACATCATAGTAATCCAGCTTGTAATAGCATAAAGCCACATATACATTCAGAGCCAGGTACTCCCTGCAGGGCAAAAGAGGAAGTGTTCACCAAAGCTTTGAGTTCCTGCCAAATGATTATGCTGCAAAGAATACTAACAGCAACTAGATATTCTTTTTCATTTTCTACAACACCCTTTATAAACACCACAAAATAGGGGGTTCTGAGAACAGCTGTGTGTGTGACTTTACAGATCTAATTTCTGTTGCACCCCCCCCCCCAAAATCATGCTATTTAAGGCCATGTTCAAGAACAGGTTTCTTTCCAATATTAGTGCTTGACCTGCTTTCACAGGTCAAATGACTGACCTCTGAAACTTGGGACTTATTATTCTGGGAGTGCACAGTAACCTTAAATGAAGGGAGAATGTAATAATTTCTTTTGGACTGATCAACTAGGGTTCATAAACATAATACACATAAAGCAATTGTTTGCTTTCCATTAATATATATATATATTCTATGGGTAGAGAACTTATTGACTTTTTTATTTATTTTCATATTGTGCATAATTACCTCTCAAACTCATTATTGCAGGATATCAAGTAAAAAAGAACAAAAAATCTCTAGGAATAAGAAAAGAATCTGCAAGAGCAAAACTAGGATAACCATCACAAACATCATGTTAAAAGCAGGGCAGGTAAACTAGTTCATTCAGAAAAGCATAAGCTATCATAGGCAGTAGCCTACTTTGTCAAATGCTATGGATGCTACAAACATCATGTTGTAATCTTCATGGACATAAATTGATCACTACCCAAGGACTGAACCTGAAATTTCCTCCCATAGTACAGAACTGCACTATACATATTACAATGGCATTTCAACTTTCTCTGAAGCAGTGGTTCTCAACCTTTTTTGTGCCAGGACCCATTTGTAAACATCAATGGCCAGTCCCAACCCAGTACCCCTTGCTCCTGACCCACTGCCCCCTGCTCCCGGGCCCCACCCACCAGTGTGTGGGGCAGGGGGTGGGTGTGTGTGGGGCAGGGGGAGCCCAAAGCATTCCCTTGCAGGCTAGAACTCTGTTAGCCTGCAAGGGAAAAGCCACTGTTTTTCTCCTTTAAAGGAGAATACATTTTTAAAGTTTGTTGATCCATTTTTTAAATCTGTTCATAACCCTTTCAGATATTCTTGTGACCCACTTTTGGGCTGCAACCCACAGGTTGAGAAACACTGCTCTGAAGCACTTAACACTCCGAAAAGACCATTGCTCATTTTGACAAAATAGAAAATACTCTTCGAAGTCCTTCTTTGAGTTCTGGACCATTGCTCCTCAGACCAGCAGGCCAAAGAGAATACTATAGAGGGAGCATACCAAGACATTTGTGCTTTGAATGGCTCAAAAATCATCCCCGCATGTACTTAGGAAGTGGTTTGATTTCTTTCCACTCCTGAGCTGAGTGGTTAGTGGTTATAACATGGAACCTCAGGGCAGCAGTTGTAACAGAATAAATGGAAATGGGAAGAACCCTCAGAGCCTGAGAGAAATACAAAGTATCTGCAAAGTAAAAGTGAGACCAAAGCCTTCTACTGAAAGCAGGGGTGTGGAAGAGAATTCAAAAACTAAAACCAAGAATTTTCAGATAGGAAATCTGCAGAAAAATTAAGTGGCTATCTACAGCTTTGCATTGCAAAAAAGATATGGGCAACATATTCTCTGCTCTGCTTGCAATTCTGTAGCTTTTCATAAGAAAAAAGAAAGAAAGAAAAGACTTCTGATGGGTCACAGATTGAAGCACATTACAAGGTGAATGAAGGTGGACATTTTCCCCTTACATTTAATTGGCATAATGGCTTAGAACAGAGTGATAAAGTGGGGAGGGAAGCACTGTACTTTTCTCACAGAGGAAGAGACAAAAGCATAAAACCTACCACAAAGTTGTCTGAATCCAAGCAACTACACGGAATGCAAATACAACACATGAAGTGAGGTTCTAAGAGGGGAGAGAGACAGACACCAACCTATTATCAAGCAGTATGCGTTTGTAAATATCAATAGCTTCTTGGTAGTGGGACCGCATGTAGTGGATAGATGCCAAGCTGAGCTGATCTTCTGTAATATCCTGCAGATTCTGGTGGAAGCTCATCAGTTTCTTTTCATCACTGAACTAAGAGAGAGAAACAGGCACCCTCCAGAAGAGTTCAGATAAGGAAACAGTTAGCCACATCAGTCAGCAAGTGAGAGTTCTACTGTAGTTCAAAGATTCCAGTTAGAAATTAGAGAAAACTTTCTTCTATTAAGACCTGTTTGGCCAATGGATGCTGTGGAGAAAGAGGTAAAACACCAGAAGAACACAAGAGACAAAATACACATCCCTACCAGGTGTGATTTGAGAACTATTAAATCTTATTTGCCATGATGTATGGGGAGAAAGGGGTGGACTAGATGCTGCATTGTCAAAATAATTTTAGAAAATAAGGTTTCCCAATGATCATTTGAGATAGAGAAGAGTTTTGCTATTTTTGGATTCAAAGCTTAGTACTTGGGGCCTGAAAAAAGTCATGTTATCAGACCAACAACCTAATAAGATGATGACTCTCGTAATTTTTGGCAGTTCTGACAAGTTTTCTTTGTAACCAACACATTTGAACTGTATCAAGATTTTAAAGCAGCCAAGAATATCCACTTAATTAGTATGCTCAAATCACTTACCATTCCAATGTTTCCCTCTACTAGATATATAGCTGCTAAGAGTGGTAATTATGAACCTTTACTGCTGTCAGAGATGGATTATGGAAGAGACACTTAGGCAGATTTAAAAAAAAATTGGTAGGTTTCCTTATTTAAAATATCTAGCTTCTCATCCTTACATCTTACCTCTTTTCCTTTTTGCCCGAGCTGCCCATAAAAAGGACTGTTCAGTACTGACAAGAGAAGTTTCCAAACAGAGACACCTCTGGATGCCAATGTCATCATTACATAACAGTTTTTCAGCTGTCAAATGAATAACTAGGTCTCCACTTGAACTTGCAAGGAGATTTAGGTATTTAAAAGGTGACCATCCATATTAGAATTTGGCTGGGACTCCAAGGTTAGCATTCCTGTTGCAAAAAGTGCCAAGACATTTTTAACGACGATACATGGCCAGGACCTGGGTTTGTCCTCATCCAAAAAATGCCTCTCTAGCTGCACAATTCCCCTTTAAACTTGATCCTAGCACATGACATAATATGGTTCCAAAGGAAATAATACTCCCTACTCTGGCCCTGATCCAAAGTACAGTACTTCAGGCCCCTGGTAGACATTACAGTTATTGTGCAATTCATGATGGACACAGATCATTTGTGCATCTCACCGGCATGGCAGAAACAGGCTTCCCAAGTATGATATAATCAAGCCACATTTAATGCGGAACATGCTCTACATTGTGACAAAGGTCCTCTAAGTATATCTTAAAATTAAGCAAACATATAATTAAGGTCCCTGGCAAACATTAATACAGTTATGTGACTGGGATCAGAGGAGTTTTATACCTGATCCCTGAAATTGTGTGTTCTGCAATGCCAGATGTACATGGAAGGACACACAATTTTTGGGATCAGGCATACATAATATGCCTCAGATCCCAGCTCTGTGGCTGCCAGCAACTTGAAAGGCAAGCCATTCAACCCTGCATAGGAGATCTAGTTCCCCTATCCTGGGGTGCACTTCTGCAGGATACATGAGCATAAAATTCCTCTGATTCCAATCATACAATTATATTAATGTCTGGCAAGGACTTTAATTATAGGTTGCTTAATTTTAAGATATATGTAGCTTGTCTGTCACAATGCAGAGCATGTGCCCATAATCACCTTTTTATTTGTCATGTTTGACTGATAGACCACTCAAAGCACTTTAAGTAAGACATATGCTTGAGTGCTTTGTTGAATCTCAGTGTGAACAATACATGCCACTACCTGGGTAGCTGTTATCTGAGTTTTCAGTGACCCTGCTTAGCTCATAAGACCTGACCAAAAGAAAAAAAAATCTACAGCAGCGACAGGGCCTGGACTAGATAACCTTTGAGGACTCTTCTATCCTGATGATTCTATAATACAAAATACGTTTGCTGTATAGAATTTTAAACAGCAGCATTTTATGCATTCTGTTTTCGAGTTTTAAAAGGCCAGTCTGAAACAATCCAATTTTATCAACACATTTACTTTGGGGGAAAAACCCCACATCTTCGTGTGCTTGTTCCCTTAACTTTGATGTTTCTAAACTGACAGCTATTTCTTCACAAGTATGTTGTGCCAAAGAGATAAAAGTTTCCTTGTTAGTCAAAACAGATACCATGCTCTATTTATAGAACAAAAGTAATCTAAATAAGAGGCTAAAAATGGAGAAACTTTTCCTAGTGGGCTTGGATAATACAGGCCAAGTCCTTCAGTTTCATTAATCTTTAAGATACCAACACACAAAATTGAAACCAGTGTTTTTATCGCTGCTGAAGAGAAATTAAACCTCCCTGCTAGATACAAGATTGTGCCTGGCATAGCAAATCGCTCAAGAGACTAGTAACAGAATATAGAACTTTTTACTAAAGTTGTTGGTTCCAAGATAGCTTCAGGCTAGAACAGCCCAATATTCTTAGAAGAATGGAAATGCACAAACTATCCTTCCATATTCCTGGTTCAAACTAAGTTATGGAATTCAATGGTCAAAAATACTATCAGACCATTGCTAATTGGTCTGCATGGAGTGAACTGATAGGTCTCACTCTGAATCCTACTGGACAAGGGCCTATTTTGAGTCTCTCTTGCACCTAAGAGATAGTTCTTTTAGTCAGAATAATGCAGTAGGGTTGGGTTTTGGAAGGTCTGTTCTGCTAGTGCTACACATACTTGTCCTGCCAGGCTATTGATCTAGCAACCAACACCAGAATGAAATTCAAAAACCAAAAGGAAATGTGAGCAAAGAAGAGACAAACATACCTTATGTGCCAGGTGAAAGAGGAGACGGTTCTGAAGTGGACTTTTAGGTGCTAAATGGAAAAATCCAGCAGTAAGTACCAATGTGGGGGACAATTCAAGATTTCTCGCACTGTTTTTAGACTCTCCTAACACACACACACACACACTAACTAACCCAAGTGCACCTCACTGACCTACTCACCTCACTTTTCTATTAGCTTCATTTCCTCTGGGAACTTCACACAATTTTACCAATATTTGAGAATGTTTCTGTATTTTTTATCTTAATTTACTCTCCATCTCTCAAAATCCTTGCTGAATGTATTTTCTCCATGCCTTTGCCTCATGCTCCTTAACTCCTTTTTATTTTTTGCTAAAACATTTTGTATATTTGATAGTTTGTAGAAGTGACACTGCAAAGCATGCAGGGCACAGTCTCTTATACACATGTGCAAAACAGGTGACTAACCCATAATCAAGGACCTTTGCAACATGTCCCACATGTAACATAACTTTTGTGACAAACCCCTGGAAAATTATATGCCTTAAAATTCCAGTATTCTTGCCAAGATCCATCATATCACACCATTACCATTTTGCTACCATTCACTTGATTTATGCCTTCTAATGCATGATCTTTCTTCTCTTATATGCAAAAAAGGCATATAGCATCAGCTGGGAGGAAAAATGGAGAGTCCTGGAAAGAATCTTATATTCAGGGGGTGCGTCTACACGAGATGCATTACTGCCCTTACTGCACAGTGAAAACCCTTAATCGTGCTTAAATTTGCTATTTGCAGGTGGCATATGCAGGTAGCACATTTAAGCGTGGTTAGTTACTAGGCAGTAATGCACATGTAGACACGACCCAGAAACAAATTTGATGGCCAGCCCTAGGGCTGCAGGCTAGGAGCCTCTCCTGCTCCAGGGCTGGGCTGCCTCTATGGCAGCCCCTGTCTGCAGGCTATAAAAGCCTGCAGACATTTTGTGGCCTGGGATGTACACCACAGGCAGCCTGAGGGCACTGCAGCCTGTGTCCCCCTGGACAGGCCACAGCCCCACTGTGCCTGCTTGCCAGCACCGCTCCCTAGCACTGTACTGTTGTGCGGCTCCCAGGGCAGTGCCGTTGGGGCCAGCTGGGTGCTGAAGGGTGTTGCAGGATGCTGCAGCCCCTGCAGTCCTGTCAGCCCCCAGGGCTGCCTCCAGGCAGCCTCTGGGCAGTAGGGCCAGCACCACCTGCTTGCAGCCTGCCCTGCACCTGCAGGTGCTGCGGGGCATAGCTTCTGCTGTGCGGCTTCCAGTACTGTGCCGTGCCCCTATGCTGGGCACTGTTGGCAGCTGCCCGGGGCCAGCAGCACTGGGACAGCTGCACGGTGGCTGCCCAGAGAGCTGGCATGGGACCCAACATGGCATCATCCTCCCCATCCATGCCCGGGACCACACACATGCACATGCCCGTGCCCTCCACCCAGGGCCCCAGCTGGAGTCAGGAGGAGACTGGCAACCTCATGGCACTGTGGGATGAGCCTGAGGTGCTGCACCAGTTTGAGCAGCGCGGGCACTCCAATGTCCACATTTATGAGGCTTTGCCAGGCCGGATGAGGGAGCTAGGGCACAACCAGTCAATGCAACAGTGCCAAGTAAAGGTCAAGGCCTTGCAGGCACAGTGGGGCACCGTGACAGGCCACAATTGTCGGTCTGGCTGTGCCCGCAACACCATACCCTTTATGTAGCAGCTGACCAGCAGCACCCTGGAACCCAGGCCACAACTATGTGGTGTATACAAGCACGGGTGGCCTGCCGAAGCCCCCGCCCTGGCCTGGCCCCTCTGGTGACGCATCACTGGAAGAGGGACCCTTGGGCATGCAGCACCCTGTCCCGCCCAGCTCCTTGGCTGCAGCCTCCACCAGCAGCTCAGGGACCCCTGGCCAGAACCTACTTTGCCAGCAGTGTAGCCTCAGGGCTAGCCATGAGGAACAGCCAGCTATGACACCACCAGCTGCCAGCAATGCCAACTCCTCCCTGGGAGGAGGGGCAGCTGGGCACCTCCACACTGTGCCTGGTGGATTGAGGACACTGGCCACAGCTGCATGCGGTCGCCAGCTGGGAAGACTGCACTGCACCACCAGCCATGCCAGCCCCAAACACATGGTAAGCCCCGTACTGGGGTGGGGGAGACCCTCCCTGCCCTGGCCCACCCACCCTCCCCTGGCTCTGGGTTCTCCCCCACAGCACACAGAGAAGCAGGACAGTGCAAAAATTTACTGAGCAACCCATGCTCCCGCAGCTGGGCAGACATGAGCCTCTCAAAACCCGAAGAATGCATTGATGCCAGCAACGATATCCTCAGGTATAAGGGGCAGGGATGTAAAGCACTGCCACAGGTAGCCCCTCCAGGCAGCAGCGGAGGTTGCAGGGCAACCCAGACTTGCCCCTTGCACCGTTGTAGCTCATCCCAAACCAAGAGTGCAGGTGCACTCAGGGCACTAGGAAGATCATCATCGTCATCAGCAGCAGAGTGTAGTAGGTTGGGCACCCCTCAGTTTGTGCAAACACCTCATTGCGCACCGCCTGGGGTAAATACAGCAGGGGCATGCTTTGGGTGCAGCAGCAGCATGGCACAGGGCTGGACCTGGGGCGTCTCCCAGGAGAGACCCTGTGGAGAGAGCAGGGACATGGCCAGCTCCTCATCCCAGTTGTCCAGAAGCCCTGCATCCCCCCTGGCCCAGGGGCTGTGGGCTAGGCAGCAGTGCAGCAGAGTGGTTGGGCCTGCAGGGGGAGAGATGGGGGAGCGGGGTCTGGAGCCACAGCATCAGGTGCTGCCTATCCCATTCTGGGGATGGGGCAGGGGAGGCAGGTTGCCTATGGCCAGCACCTAGCGGGCTGCCAGTCCCAAGGGGGCACGGGGACAGGGGACTCAGCCAGCAGCTGCCTGGGTCAGGCCTGCCCAGCCTGACTTACCATGATTCCCAGGAACCCATGCACAGCCAACCCCCAATCTGAGGCCAGGCAGTGCATGGCCCCTAGTATACAGCATCTTATCTCTGAAATGTTGCAAACTCTCACAAAGGCTTCTGTCTCATGGCTCTGCAGGTCCAGCATCTGGATGTGTGGGAGAGGCCAGAGTTGCCAGCAGGGATGCCAGTCAGGATCCCTGGTGCCCACCACTGGGGCCCTGCAGATGTGTCAGCTCTGCCAGAGGTGCACCATGGACCAGATCCTCCTCCTCCAGTGGCTGGTGATGGTCGCTGAAGAGAAGGAGGCGGCGTAGGACCAGGATGACCTGGAGTTTTGGGCTGAGCTCTTGGTCCTGAAGCACAAGTGGATTCAGGCCCTGTGGGAGCAAAACACCATCCTGGGCAGTGCTGCGCAGTGCAGGCCATGGACGAAAACTGTCAGGACACCATCGTGAGCCTAGCGGTCTCATTCCTGCCCACTGTTGCCCAGCCCTTGTCCCTAGCCCCACAGGCCCCCTGGCAGCTGCATGCCACCCTGCAGCAGGACCCTGCCTGGGCCTGGGAGGGGGTCCTGAGGCATGTACAGCTGGCAGGAGCCCCTGGCCCAGCCCCTGCCTCAGGTCCACTGCCATCCAGGCCTGCTGCTTGCCTCAGCTCCACATGGGCGTAGAGCTGAAGCATCCAGCAGTGGGGACAGGAATACACACCGACCCTCCTGGCCATGGACAGCACCTGGCAGAAGGGGAGCCGCCCACACCAGAGAACTCGTGGGGGAATAGCCAGAGACCAGGGTTCCGGCCGCCTGCCCCTGGGCTCTGCCCCCTAGGCCCTCCCACCCCATGCCCCTCCCAATCCAGGATGCCATAAAAATTACTTCTTCACAGGGAAGAAGGTGTTTTATTGCTGGTGCAGAGATGAGTGGTGGAGAGTCTCTGTTGGGGGTGACAGGGGGAAGGCTCTATGTGTTGAGTGGGGAGGAGGGTGTATATTGAGGGGGAAAGAAGAAGGGTGTGGTCTGTGTGATGTGAGGGGAATAAAGGCTTCTTCAGACCTATGTCTGACATGACAGTGGTGCTGGGGATGGATAGTGGATAGAGTCTGTGGGCAGCCAGGCAGGCAGCCTAGAGCAGGGAGTATTGGAGGAAGTGGTCAACTAAAGCCTCCCACACCTGGTGCCGTGGCCCCCACTGGCAGGTGCATGACTCTTTTGGCACGTCAGCTGGGGTGGAGCGGGCTCACTGCTGTTGCTGCCGCCACAGGTGATGCTCCTGCTGCCAGATGGCCTCCGTGCACCGCACCTACTCCACCCAGGACTTGTGAAACAGCTCCCTCCCAGGCCTTGCAGATGTTATACAGTACATGACCTGGCAGAAGTTCTCCTTGGTGACCTCAATGTGTGTGGTGAGGGAGTGCCAGCAGCCCCTGAGGCAGTCAAAGGTGCATTTGACCAGGGTGTGGGTCCAGCCTAGGTGGTAGTTAAAGTGGGCCTGGTGAGGGTCCAGTGGCCAGTATATGGCCACATCAGCCAGGGAGGAGTGGCTAGGCCAGGTTCCTGATGAGCTAGGGCAGGACAGCGATGGTGCCCAGCTGGAGACCCAGCACCCCCAGCGCAAAGCACGCACTCTCCACCAGTCCGACCAGGCCAGAGTGCCAAAACACATTGCGCGCTGCCCACCTAGCCAGCACTCGCATGAGTGAATGTGCCATGGTGGTCCACAATGACTTGCAGGACCATGGAATGAAATCCCCTGCAGCTGTAATAGGGATGGTCTGAGTGGGGAGGGCAGTTGATGGGGAGGTGGGTCCTGTCCAGGGTCCTGATGCACTGGGGGAATCCCAGTGCATGGAACCCTGCCACTACCGTCAGGGGGTTGAGGATACGGAGCACTGTGTGCCCCAGCATATCCAGAAGGGCACCGCACACCTCCAGGACAGCCTTCCTGGCAGTGGCCTTGCCCATGCTGACCAGGTATTTGACATGCTGGAGACTGTGGGTGTGGTCAGCTTCAGCAGAACGAGGGCCAGCCAGGTGTCTGCGGGGAGGACCAGGTGCATGCCGGTGTCCTGCTGCTCCAGGTGGGGCTGGAGCTGCTTGAGTAGGTTCCAGAAGGTGG